CTTTGCCTCTCCTGCCCACAGAGCCTCCTCCAGATCCACTATCTGAAGCTAAAGGAATGTTTGATTCACTGACATGGGATTCCATACAAGATTGTGTCAGACCAGTGGGCCCACAACAGTGGTATCAGTTGTATTCTGTATTTCACCACCCAGAAGCTGCAGCCTTGTAAGGCGCTGGGGTAGCTTGCAGAAGGCACGCTTAAGGCACCAGCTCAGAGGCAATGCTCTGTGAGAAGGGGCCGCATCCTCCAGGACGCAGCATTTACACTGAGTCAAAGACCTTCTTATATGCAGCTGTCTTCCCAGCAGGAAGAATATGCTGATCTGGGAACCTGGGAATGGAGTAAGTGTGTTTCACTTCCCATCCTTCCCAATGACGCACTGGAGGACTCTGTGTTCCTGTCCCTAAAACTCTAGTTTCTGCAGTGCTAGAGATCCTGGAACTGAAAGGGGACACACTTCTGTCAGGGGACACAGCGAGAGTCCCGCTGAATCACAAGCTACGCCAGCCGCCTGGGTGCTTTGGGCTTCTTGTAACCAGGGCCTAGCAATCAAAGAGGAGTTACCGTGTTGCAGGGGTAACTGACCCTGATCATCAGGAGGAAGAAAGGCTGCAGTCACACCATGAGGACAGGAAAGGGGGCGTGTGTCACCTGTGACCCACTTGGGCAACTTATGATGCTCCCTGGCTCAGCTGTGACGATAAATGGACACGTGCAGCAATCCTTTGGAAAGGGCGTGGTGACCAGAGTTCAGGCTCCGCAATGATGTGGATCAGGGTCACTCCACTGGGTAAGCGCACAGACCTGCAGAGGTGAGGGAGACCATGAACCAACGGTGGAGGAGGGAAATGATGAACATCAGTTGTGATCCTAAGACCAGCTGCAGCAACAGAGGTTGTAGTTCATTTTTCTAAACCTTCTTCTTTAATGTCTCCCCCAAGGAAGAGAGGCCCACTGGAATGCTGGAGGAGCTGCGCCCCAAATGTGCAGCACAGTGATGGAGCAACTGGAGGCGAACATGAGGATTCCCGTCAAGAAAAGACCTGTCCTGGCTGCTGGGAACGCTGCAAGCACACAGCCTATAACCCTCAGGCCCTTCGGGGTTTGCCCAGAGAAAGCTGCGTTGACCAAGGTCATACCCTTCGCGATGCAGCTCACTTCCAGCGGCTGATGGCCAGATGGGCATAAAAGCCCAGCCACTTTGGCCAAATGTTGGACAACTCTGACAGGCTGTATAAGACCCAGATTTCCCCATGAGACTGGCCAAGGCTTTTTTGGATCTGCAATACACTTGGACTTCTCCCTTCGCCCAATCCTATTTCCTCCCCATTCCTTCCAGAGGTGTTAAATAAACATCCTAATGAATATCCTGCTTGACACACTCTCTCAGTGTCTGCTCTGAAAGACGTAGCTGCAGCCCCCATCTTAGTAAATGGTAAGAAGGTTGTAGTTAACAGTTTTAATCTCCCTTTTCCATTGGCATTCAGTGTCTCCTTTGCCTTCAGCCAGCAGCTCAGCTGTTGAGGTTATTTACCTAGTGGGGTAACCCAAACATTTATTCTTGAACTTTTGATGGTCTAGCTTTTTGTTGTTGTTGTTGTTGCTATAGTTTTCTATTAACTTTTTCCATTGGACAAGAAATTATTAAGAGGCATCTTGGAGAATCTCCTAGGTTCTAGACACAACCGTCTGTATTTTCCAAATATGGGCATAACAATATCGCTTATCTCACATGCTCTCCTTCAGCGTGGCCTTGTCACTCTTCCGTCAGGAGGTGAAGTCTAATTCCCTGTCTCTGAGTACGGGTTGGCCTTGATGATCCACCTGGCAACGGTAGAGTAAGCAGCAGTAACGCTGTGTGACTTCTGTGCTTAGGCTAGAAGTAGTCTTGCAGCTTCTGCCTTAGTTTATTGGATGCTCCCTCTGGAAACTTTCCACCACTTGGCGAGAAGCCCAAGCCACACTGCAGGCGCATCTACGTGCGCTGGTTGATTTCTCCAGCTGAGCTCAGCCTTTGAGTCATCCCAGCCCACTTACCAGACACAGAGTGAAGAAGCCTGCAGATGATTCCAAGCCCAGTCATTCAGATCATCCTTAGCCACTCAGGACTTCCCAGCAGAGGCCCCAGACACCATGAAACAGAGACATACCATCTTTATTCTGCCCTCTCTGAATTCCTAACCCACAGAATCTGTGAGCGTAATAAATGGTTGTTCTAGGCCACTCGATTTAGGGCAGTCTGAGTACAGCTGGAGATAACCAGAACTTTCTACCTGCTCCTATGATGTGAGAATGTGCAATTTCTTTTTGGTAACCAGGATAAATCTCCCCAGCCAGTACAATAACTTTCTACCTTCTCTAATGGTTTAGTGGCTAAAGAGTCCCAAACAGAGACTCTCCTTTAGACTGCCAGATGACAGTCTCAGTTTCCAATTAAATGGAGCCTTGTATGTCCCATGGTGGAAAAATTCCTTCCCTGGGATCTAAGACCTACAAATAAGCAGAGTCTAAAGTTGCAGAGCTGAAAAACAAAGATTCTGTGAGTGGGTTATTAAGAATCATAGAGAAATAGTCCTCTCTTCCACCTCTTGATAATTGAGCTTATATATCCTGATTATAGAAGAAACAGTATGTAAATTGACTGTTTTTTTAAAATACGTTTTTATTGATTTAAGAGAGAGAGAGAGAGAGAAAAACATTGATGAGAAAGAAATACCGATCGGCTGCTTCCTGCATGCTCCCCACTGGGGACTGAGCCCACAACCCAGGCATGTGCCCTGGCCGGGCATCGAACCAGTGACCTCTTGGTGCATGGGATGACACTCAACCACTGAGTCACACTGGCCAGGCTTGCCTGTTAATTTAAAGCATAAACTACATTCTGTAAGAGAAAACCCTACCTTTTTGGTGTGTTGTCTCCCAGTTGGCATCATAATTGGGTATTCAGTTGGCCATCCCACCATTTTATTGGGTTCATCTTCTAAGTAAGATAAACACAGTGCATTTCATGTGTATGAATCCATTACTGTATTTTGTGTGTTATTATGGATTTTTTCGTGTGTTGTGTTTTTTTCGTGTTGCTTCCCAATTGGCATTATAGCTGGGTCTCTAGTAGGTAATTCCACCGTTTTATCTGTCCTCTGATGGTAAAGCCAGTGAATTCTATATTGCACAACCCTACTGCTGCTTTTTTCGCTATTTAATTAATTTCTTGATCCAAGGCAGAACTGTAAAGAACACCATGATGGTAAGTAAAACATTCTTTAAGTCAAGGATAGCAATGTTATAAGAGGTACTGAGTGTAGGAAAGGCAAATTTATATACCAAAATGCAATCTCTTCTCATGAGTGCAAATCCCTGCAGCCTCCATAACATTTACACTGGTGATGTCTCTCCTGAGTGGTAGGCATCTTCCAATTTAGAGGAAATATTTTTACATGATAAAAATACTAGGCCTCCAGAAACTTCAAGTTGTTAGGCTGTGAATTTTATAGGACTTTCCTCCCACCTTGTGGCACTCAGGTCTCTAAGGCATCCAAGATCCTTGTCACTTACGCTCATCAGGTTCAGTCGGCATGTTTCCTTAATGTAGTGGAACAGTGTGATGTGATATTTTGGGATATCAAGACAGTCAAGATCTCTGCAAATTAGATTATGGCAGGTAGGAGAACTGGCATTACCCTGGTATAACAAAATGTGAAAATGCGCTATTGTGCCTGCTAGGTGAAAGCAAGCTGCTTCTGGAGGGCCTTGCAAGTTGGTAATCAGAAAATAGCATTTTTTAGATCAGTAGCTGCTTATTCAGTGTCATGTGCTGAATGGTTCCAGTAAGATACCACATTCCTAACATGCGTTAGGAATCATCAACTCTGCATTTCTTTTATATTGGCATTAACCTCAGCAATTCCCCCAGGGATGCAGTATTGTTTGCAATTTTTTCAATTTATCATTCCAGCAGGAAAGAAAAATTCCAGGGTCTTCCTCTTGGCTCTTCCTAGCAGCCCTCATTTAATGGATCAGAGACATAGTGGGGACTCTTCCAGATACTGCTCTATCAACTACACTAGGGGCTGGCAAACTCTTTGTGATTCAAACCTGGCCACTTAGCTGTTTCTGTAGATGTAGTTTTATTAAAACGTAACCATGCTCATTCATTCATAATGTCTGTGACTGCTTTCATGACAAAATGACACAGTTAAATAGCTGCCACAGAGACCATATGGTCTGCAAAGCCTAAAATACTTACTCTCTAAGCATTTATAGAAGGGTTACCAATCCCTGAATTATTCATTCAAGAACTGGAGTAAATACGACAAGGTTGGTCCATGGACCCACTAGATAGATGCACAGTGAAATGGGCCTGGTTACAAACTCCATTACCACGATAAGCCCACACTTTGACCTGTGGAATGTAGTGGTACATTCAATCTCCAAGAATCTACCTAATAATCTACAAAAGATCCAGGTAACAGAGATGGCTTTTTCTCTTTCTATACGCATGCTACCCCTAGTAATGATCACAGATCCATTACTAGGGAAGGTTTAGAGCAGGAGTGGAGAATGTCCAGCCCGTGGGCCATATGTGGCCCACAAAATCATTTGGTCTGGCCCTGCCAAGGCCTCACCAAAGAGAAACAGTTCCAGTCATCACACTAGAGGTGAGTTAATTAAATACAGCAGGCTAACTTTTAAGTTGATAATTTTGTATGGTCAATGAATAATTTTATAAATATCCAAATAGCCATTGGCAGAAAAAAGGTTCCCCACTCCTGGTTTAGAGGAAGAAATACACTTATTTATGACAGTGTTTCTGGGTCTTTCTCAAGGTGACCTTGCCTCCTCTTTATCAAGGGCCCCAGGTTTAATAACTAGCTTGGTTCTAAAAACTAGGCAAAAGACCATGTCACTCCACTGTGGCAACTCAAGCCAGGTTTCTGGTCACCAGACCTGGAGTTTTTCTTGTAATATAGACTAAGCCATATTTAAGTAAGCCATCATTTTTATTTTTATTTTATTCCTAGGGACAATGTGAACATTTAGCCATCACCAAAGATCCCTGTGGGTCAAAGCATTCTGATTAACACTTCTTCCCTGTTGTCTGTTGTGACATTTGTGCCCACTTTGACTTTATAGTAAAGTTGGCTCTCTATCCCATAGTCCACTGAAATCAGAAAGCCCATCTCAATGACACCTCCCACTGCCGTTTCTTTGTGGAGAACATTCATCTTCTTTCCATTCAGCTTTTCAACAGTGCTGATGTCTCCACTCACATTTCTCAATGCCATACTGCGGGATATAGAACGTTCTTGAATTCTTGGTGCTTCTGCAAAAAGCCCTGGCCTATTGAAACACAGAAAATTGTACGATATAAAGTTTTTAAACTTCCTTCAGAAATATTTTACTCTTTGCATTCCATAAGCCATTTGTCCAGTTAACTGCCCTAATCTGAAAGGGTAATAAACTCTTATCTGCCCTAGAGGGACAGATGTTTATAGCCCAGACTCTGCCCTTGGCTAAGCCCCAAGGTGCTAGCAAAACTGAAGCAACTACCTCCTTAGGAATTTGCACGTCGAAAGGGGTGAAACCTAGAATTTGCAGTCATCTCTGGGTTGCAACAGCAAGATTCACCTAGATAGATAGACAGACAGACCGTCAGGTCCTTGTAAAGGTATATTCACATTCCAAAAAGTTAGGGTGAGAACCCTGGGCCCTTTCTGTCCAGTCTCAAAGGAGTAAAGGGTTTTTTTTCTCTGCTTTTGGGAGAGGAGAGGAATGACTATCTCTCTCTTCTAGTTACAAAGAGAAAAAGCCATTGATATCCAATCTTTGTCTACAGGGCAGAACCTGTCAGCGCACGGATGTTTCCATCAGCTCTCATTACATCACTGGTGGGACAAAGGTGTGGGCTACTGATGCTGCAGCGTTGCTCTGGCTGTTGATCTGGATGTATCAATAAAGAGCGGCTTTCCCTGGTCCAGGCGCCATGTGTTCCTGCCGGAGCCACATGCACAAAGCACATAAGGATGTAAGTGGAGCAACATCTGATACCTTCCACAGTTCATGGTAAAGCACACGGTGAAGGGAGTGTCCTCCAGGCCCTCCCAGGAGGGTATTTGGGGAGGGGGATTTGGTGGCACACGATTAACCTTCCTGTCCATTCCAACATTTCTCCCTTGGTCTTTATTTATATTCCTTTCTCTGTGTTACACTAGGAAGGTTTGGCATCTTAATTTTTTGAATATAAGCTACGTTTGAATTCAAAGTTTACCCAACTAACCAATTAAATCAGTAAAACCATTCCCAGATGCTCAAGCTAACACACTGAATCCAGAAATCCCAGTAAGTGGGCCCATTTCCTAACTTGACCTAAGACCATGCCACAGTTTATCTTAACATTCTTAGAATCCAGTTCCAAACATATTTCCCAGGCTTCTGCCAGCATACACAGCGAAACCTTGCAATTTGGGGGGAGTTTAAGCTATCTCTTCCTAGGATGCCCTTTGGGCTTTCCTCCATGAAACATGCTGAGCTCTGACTCCAATTAGAGGTGCAAAAGCACAAAGGAGTGAAGAGGCAGATACTGGAGGGGACAGGCATCTTCTTGCAAGGTAACTGCCTCAGGAGAAGTTATTACAAGGTTTCCAAGCAAGGGAAAGCTTATCTCCCCACACATATGAGGAAGCGTTGCTTCTGCTGGCAAAAAAGACTTGAGGATTCAAAGTTCTCAGCCTACCTAAGCTCACCCAGCTGCCTCGCTCCTTCCCAACCAATGCTTTCACATAAGAGACTCGGCAAGTCTGTGAAGTCAAGTTACATTGTAATTCCACAATCCACACAATTAAAATTTTATTTTCAGTGAGTTCTGCCTGCAGCTACAAAAAAATAAGAGGTGTTTGGGGGTTCCATAGATACACTCTGATTCTCTGATTCTGACTTGAGTTGAGTGTTCAGTGGTCTGAACCTGTCTTTTTTACCCCCTTTTGTATAATTTCCTCCCCTTGAATGTGGGTAGGACCTGGGAATATGATGGGATATCAGTATCACGATGCCAAAAGAATTTTACAGATGCAATTAAGGATACTAATCAGTTGACTCTCAGCTTATCAAAAAGGACATCATCTAGGTGGACCTGGCCTACTCCTATCAGCCTTCTAAATCTGGGTCTAGAAGTCAGGGAAAGAGGAAGCCAGAGATCTGAAGCATTAGAGGAATTTGATGTAAAGGAGATTCTCTGTTGCTGGCTTGAAGTGGGAAGGGGCCACACGGCAAGGAATGTGGGTGGACTACAAGAGCTCAAGGTGGCTCCTGGTCCACATCTTGCTTTTAACCTCGTGAGACTGAGCAGAGATCCCAGCTATGCTATGTCTGAACTGCTGACCTACAGAATCCTGAGCTAATAAGGGAAACTTGTTTTAAGCTGCTAAGTGTGTTTTTTTGTTCTTTAGCAGAATAAAACGAAGACACCAGCCTACAGTCCTTTTAGAGATCCTGACTAATAAACTGTCCAGTGCAGCAGCTCCGTGGTCTCCCAAAGCTCCCTTCATTGGGATTGTATCACAATCATGAGACGCGATAATATAATCAATCATGAGGCCACAGCATAGCATGGGTTACTGTCATTCTGATTGGCAAGGAACTTAGCACAGTGTTCAAGATTTCCAAGCTAGTCCCAGAGTCTCATTTTGATGGTCTGTTTCCTGGAACCACTCGTGATAACAAGTAGTTCATCAGTTAGGGTCAAATTGGGAAAAAAGAAACAGCATAACACATAATGTGTTTCAACAGAGAGAACTCAAGAAAGGGAGATGATACCACAGGCATTAGAGGAAGAAAGAAAGAAAGAAAGAAAGAAAGAAAGAAAGAAAGAAAGAAAGAAAGAAAGAAAGAGAGAGAGAGAGAGAGAGAGAGAGAGAGAGAGAGAGAGAGAGAGAAAGAAAGAAAGAAAGAAAGAAAGAAAGAAAGAAAGAAAGAAAGAAAGAAAGAAAGAAAGAAAACCACCCCAAAATAGAAATATACAATCCACACTAGGAGCTTAGTGGAAGAATAGTTTGCTCCCAAAATTCACATCCACCTGGAATCTGTGAGTGTGGACTTCTTTGGAAATAGGATCTTTGCAGCCGTAATCAAGTTAAGCTGACTCTAAGGGAATGAGAGAGGCCCCTTAAATCCAACGACCGGTGTCCAGATGAGAAGGCCAAGTGAAGACGCCGGGCACACGAAGAATGCCATGTGAAGACAGAGGCAGAAACAGGAGTAAGGCCGCCACGAGCCAAGGAATGCCTAGGATCGCTGGCAGCACCAGACCCTGGAGGAGGCAAGGCAGGGTGCCCCCCAGAGCCTTCAGGAGCTTGGCCCTGCCCGGCTGGCTGCTGGTGCATGATAGGGGGGCTATAGTGCCAAAGGAAAAGGGAGCGACCAGCTGCTGCTGCGTGGCTGAAGTGCCACTGTTGGGACAACACACAAACCAAGAGAAGGCTTTTCTCCCCTCCTCCCGCCTCCAGCCTCCCCCCAGGGTCTCCTATGGGCAGAACATAAGCCACAACCAGCTGGCAAAGGGGAACAGCCCTGTGAAGTTCCCAGATCCAGCATCGCAGAGCAACAGGAGGGTGGGCGTGGGGCTGACAGGTGGGTGGCGGGCACCAGGGGGGGG